TGGAAGATAGCTAGATTTTTTGAAACTGCTATACAAAGTGGTTGCTTTTATAAAGGCAAACAGGCTTTTCACTTTGCAAGGGAATTTTCCCTTGGCTTAGTGAATGAGGTAAAGCTCTGTCAAGAAAAAGTGCAAAGTGAACAGCCTATTCCCCTTTAGTAAATCAATTCCAATATCTCAATAATTAGGACACCACAACCTTTTTGTAGAGTAAACAAGTCTAGTTAACCCACCCAGCCTTATAAAAGCCTCCCATCTCTGAATTCCCATCTCTGAATTCCTTTATGTCTCCCCAGGGGCGTACTGACAACTCATGGGGTCCCCGGGCAATAGGGGATCATGGGGCCCCTGTGTCCTTGCCCAAACTCAAAAAAGCCTATGAAAAAGGTACCAGGGGCATCTCATGGGGCCCCCTACTGACCCAAGGCCCTCGGGCCGTGCCCGAGTTTCCAAATGGTCAGTCTGCCCCTGTGTCTCCCTATATCTAACATTTAGCCAGGATACTGCATTGTAGGTATTATTATGGTGTAGCTGTGAATAATAGCCAATCAGCTTCTAACTTTTTCAATTAAAGTGTTACTAAACCCAGGACCTTGCATTCACTATATCCCACAGTACACAGAACATAGAAATTCTTTCCAAAAATAATTTTATTAGGAAAGTTAAGGCAGATCAATATATATGCAAATACAGATGACAGTCTGAACATAGACACAATATGTAGCATCCCGTTTTAGAAATTCAATTATATTAGTAAATATAAATTGCTAAATACCTTTTCTCATCAGCAATTAGAGCAGTCTTGTGACTTCTATCTGTGTCCAGCACAGCACTGGTTAAAGCCTGTAGGAGGAGTTTTCATTCTGCTCTAGAAGGATATGCAGAACCCCTGACCTCTGTTTGGACAGTGCTGATTGGCCCTGTTGATCTCATGCACTCTCCCAAGACAAAAAAAAAAAAAAACAAAAAACTCTCTAGCAATACACACCAAACTGAACATGTGCAAAGTGACCACACACGATATGCCTCATCAGCAGATAAGAGGGGGACACTGGAAGATGGGGAGGATCAACAGCATTTTTACACACTGCAGAGCATTAAGCCCTTAGGTTCCACAGTGAGTATAACAAGCATGCTTTACTGCATATACAGACTGATATTACTGTTGTGGGTTTAGTAACACTTTAGGCTTTGACAATAAGACCTGGAAGCTTATTGGTTTCTATGTAAATCTTCCTTTTTTTCCTTTCTATGCAAAACTTTAGATTTACCAAATTATATAGAAGGGTCTTTCTAAACTATCTAATCAATCTGTATCCAATCAGGCAGGCCTGTGCACTAAATAGTTGTTGGTGGATTTAAAGGAGACTGTACAAACAGATGGTAACATGTGCAGTGAGCTTTAAGTACTCAACCATGTGTGTGTTTTTTTTTAAACTTGGGTAACAAAATGGAATTACATAATAACATATAAGGATGGCATAATAATATTTGAATACATACACTGAAAGCAGACTCAAACTAGGGATGGTGTATATAGGTTGTGATAAATGTTCCTTTACAAACACAGAACCGATTAGATGAGGGGTATAGCCAAAGCTTTTTGGCTATACCTCTTCTATGGATTACAGAAGTGCAGTTTGTTCTGCACTCCTGTGACCTGCTTTCAGCCAATGGTGGGCTAAATCCACTGTCGGCTGACATCACAGAGCAGGTCCAGACTCTGAAAAGGTCCCATATGGTCGGGATCCACCCAGAACCTTGGACTGGCACCTGACTCAGTCTCTCAGTGATTTGCCGAGAGCCTGGGCCAGCCCCTCCTGCCTCCTCCACAGCAAGGCGCTCCAGTGAATGCTGGTGGGGCAGAGAGCTGGTGACTGACAGTCATGGCTCTCTGCACAGAGCGGAGGGGAGAACTGAGCATTTGTGGTATTTTATCTCTTAGTTCTCACTGCAAAGTCAGTGGAGGATTGATGATACATCCACCTAGGTGCGTATAAATGTTTTTTTTTTGTTTTTTTTATAAAGGTCATACTTCTGTTTTAGGTTGTCTCATTCCGGGACATCACCAGGACATCACTGCAAAATGTGAGCAAGAACTGTTAGATTTGTTAGATTGCATGTCCTGTATTCCAGATCTGCTGGTAAACACTTGAGGTGCCAGATAGCTGGCCTTACACTCCAGGACTTCTGAGATAAACCAGAGCTGCTAGACTGCGCCTCCGTATGAACCAACATTCTACGGTTGTATTATCTGCTAGCACCTTCAATTCAGCCTAGAATAAATTGCATAAATCTTCCGATATGCCACAAAAGTGAGGCAAAATGAAAGTAGTACAATGCATTTATAAAAAGAACTATGCTTATATTAATACTACAACATGTCTCTACGCTCTCCCAAATATATTCAGTTATACATATTCATAGCTACAGAAATAACTTTTGAAGACCAAGGCACAAAGCAATGCAGCAATTTCACATTTCAAGAAAAGCACGTTCCCATCATTGGACTTTCACGTCATGCACATGCATAGAGATTTAAGAGTAAGTGAACATCTTCAAATTCATTAAGGTGGAGCTGCAGCCAAAAATATTTTTTAGCCATGAATAGAATGGAGAATAGTTATATCCTCTGTCAGCATTTTATTTTTGTATATTTCCCACTCAGTTCTGTTTGATATCTGGAATTAAAAGTGAGGGAAACTTTTCCAATGCGAACTTAGAGAGTAAAATAAGCAAATTTGTATTAGAGTGGAGAAGGGTCACAGCCTTTGTTTGACCAGCCACCAGGTTAGAAACTGAAGGGAACTCCTGCCATTGACAACTGTCAACCAATACCACTGACAACTACTGAAAGTGGGATTTTAGCTCACTTTTGGGGAGATTTCACTGACATTAGAACAGAAACAAAAAGCTGAAAGATGATCAAACCATTCCAAATGAAGACAAAATCTGTGGGACTTTGATTATGCCTACCAGGAGATCACATGAAAACAAAAATCAACAACTTCACTAAAAGTATCCTATATTTATTTTTTTAAAGAAAATTGTTGTTCTCAGTAAAAAAAAAATTAAGGGAAACATTCCAATCAGCTAATAAAAATATCAAGTAGACCTGCTTAAAAATGTTGTAACAGTATGCATCCTAATAAGAAGTGATCACAGCACTTTTAGGTCTATGCATTTCAAGGATGAGGTTGCTTCTTGGCCTTGGACACATGTATACATATCTCCAACATCAAATAGGTTTGCTCTATATAAATAAACAAAGCATTGATTTTTGTCTTTATATGATCTCCTGGTAGGCAGAACCAAAATCCCACAGATTTTGTCTTTATTTGTTTGCTATATATATTTGAGATGGTGCCACCGGGATGTCATTATCTTTCATTATTTCTATGATGGTCCCTCCACTCAGTCATACCCGATTTAGACTGATCACACCCTTTCCCACTCTGTTGCAAGTAACAATAGAAAAAACAATTGTCTGCAGTTCAACTTTAAATCTTTATGAAACAGCTACCATTGTGCATTCCATTAATATTATTACACAAAAATTTCAAGATCACTAAAAATTAAGTCCTTTTCCTTTAAGTGTCAATACCTAATCACATCTGCATGGAATTCCCTGCAGTGCACATGCTTTTGTGCATTGAGGCACATTGACTGATACACTGTCAAGGTAATACACTACAATGCCTGCCTAGAGTAACTAGTGTGTGGTCTTAAAAGTAAACCAGAAGTGGTAATTATAGCATATGCATGATACAAATGGGCATGTACATATTGATTTTTATCCTGGATAAATAGGGTTCACACACAACAAAATATGAATGCAAACAACTTTGATAAACACCGCTCTGGCCACATGGTTTATGGGTTAAGTTGGCCATGGAATGAGCGATTTCCGGCAACCCATGGTTGCAGGAAAGAAAATCGCTTGAATCAGCACAGTCAATGTTGATGTCTGCAGAGCCACTGTGTTCTACTGGCGGGGGGGGGGATTATCCATCCCTGCCAGGAGAACACAGTGATTACTGCTAACAGCTGTAATAGTCTCTAGCAATAATCACATGTAAAATCCGACAGGCTGGTTGTACCCAAGTTGATCAATCAATCAACTTGGGTACATTCAGCCTGCACATACATGGTGTGAATCTCGGATGGTCTCTGTTGAACCGCCGAGATTCTAACCGTCTATGGCCGGCTTTAGTTCACCTAAAAAACTGCTTATTTAACTAAGGGATGCCTGTAGATTAAAAAAATAAACCTGTGCAACTTTGACTAAATCTTGCCCTTGCTATAGGTGTAGGCCATTCATGTACTGTACCTCCCAAAGCCATGCCAAAAACTATCTGAGATGGTGTTCTCCTGTGATGGTGGGGACGATCATCAATGACTGGGGGCATCTTAGCAAAATCCTAGCAAGGTAGGATAGGGGAATGCCATCAAGCCTTTCACGTTTCTGATGCTAAGTACCAGTCCAATGCCAAACCTTTAATTTGCCATTAAAAGTTTTGGCACTTCACTGTTAAATGGTGGACTGGACATACCATTTAAGGGTATTGGTCTTAATAGAAGATTGTTCAGAGGTAGATAACCTTGTGTGCGTGCAGCTTGGTACTGTAATCCAAGAAGCTCCACAAGGGTACAGACGTTGCTGTGCAAACATCAGAAGATGCAGACTTTTAGCAGTAGTGCTAGTTTACTAGTTTCACAATAATCCTGGTGCACTTCTGAAAAACATAAACCCTTTCTGTGCAATACTGGAGTCTGAAAGACAAGTGGAATAATTGTGTTTTAAAAATTAGAGGATGGAGCTACCCAATCTTCCTCCTCAACATGACATAGCCATTGATGATGGATGCAGACAAAGACTCACCACTTAAACTATAAGGGTTGTGGGTTGTTTTGGTTGCAATTTATTTACTGTGAATGCATTTCGAAACTAATAGAAATATATATTTTTCTACTACTGATGTAAAATCTCTATTTTACAAATACACAATGAATGGACTGCCTCCATGACAATGGTGTTACAGAATATTATTGGTTTTCTAAAGAATAGCTTTTTGTGTCCAGGTTTTCTCTCTGCATTAAAAGCTTGTAGGAAGCCATCCAGAGCAGGGAATAATGTTAAAGCGTTACTAAACCCAGGACCCTGCATTCACTATATCTGGTCTCCCAGGACCCTACATTCACTATATCTGGTCTCCCCGGACCCTGCATTCACTATATCTGGTCTCCCAGGACCCTGCATTCACTATATCTGCTCTCCCCCGGACCCTGCATTCACTATATCTGGTCTCCCAGGACCCTGCATTCACTATATCTGGTCTCCCATGACCCTGCATTCACTATATCTGCTCTCCCCGCACTCTGCATTCACTATATCTGGTCTCCCCGGACCATGCATTCATTATATCTGGTCTCCCAGGACCCTGCATTCACTATATCTGCTTTCCCCGGACCCTGCATTCACTATATCTGGTCTCCTAGGACCCTGCATTCACTATATCTGGTCTCCCACAGTACACAGAACATGTAAATGCAATTATTTTAGTAAATATAAACTGCTAAATACCTTTTCTCATCAGCAGTTAGAGCATTCTTTTGACTTCAGCTGAGCACTGGTTAAAGCATGTAGGAGTTTTCTTTTTGTTATAGGAGGAAGCAAAACCCACGACCTCTGTCTGGACAATGCTGATTGGCCAAGTGCTGATTGGCCAAGTGCTGATCATATGCACTCTCCCAAGAAAAAAAAACCCTCTACATTCCAAGCTGAGCATGTGCAGAAGGGCTATGGGTTCAGTCTACAAGATGTTGACATTTGAACAAGAGGAGGGGCAGAGGCCATTTACACAGTGCAGAGGATTAACCCCTTAGGTTCCACAGTGAGTATAAAAGCATGCTTTACTGTGTATACAGACTAATTTAAATGTTGTGGGTTTAATAACACTTTAACAGAGTTGTGTGAATCAGTCCTATGGTTCATCAAGTTGCATGAATGCAATCTAAGCATGTGCTATTGGGCTTTGTATAAAAATGATACAGTAATGCTTAGTTTGGTAAACATTTGAAAAGGTGCCTAAAACCCTACCTACTCAACAAAACTGTAAAAACAGAATATCCATGTTTAATAAATTATATTTCTAAAATTAAATATTTGGGTTTTTTTTTAGTTCTGAACATTTAAATATAAGAAAAAAAAACGAATACAATACATATATAACATGTTATACAATCCCTTGAAAGTACTGTGGCTTGAAACGAAAATAGCATTTGAGAATCTGAGTTTGCATATTAGCAAGCCTCCTGCTTTTAGAAATTAAACAATTATGAATACATAAATTATAGAGACTAGAGTTAGAACTGCTAAGACTAAGGTTAGATCTGTGGATCATCTGAAGAGATGATTAACAGGTGCTGAGAAGGTAATTCCACGCCTCCTCACTTCCTGTTTTAACCCCATAAAAGCCACACAAACATACTACAACTGTGTTGATTGCACACGGTTGCAGATCTCTGTGGCAAATCCCCATTTGTTTGAATGCCTAGCATTCACCAGCAGTACTACCCACCAAATATGAAAGAAGTAATAATTTTTGCTGTGGGCATGAAGCAAAGCATTATGACTATGATATATGACAATTCCCCAACAAGAATTGCAGATTTTATTTAAGACCTTATATTACAAATGCAACGGCAACAGAGCTTCTCACTCTTTCCCAAGCCGGTGAAAAACAGATTTGATACAATGTAAGTTGCTTATAAACGCAGCACGCCACAAATGACATCAGACATGATTTAATTCAGCATAATTTCTATACTAACCTTTCAACATCTATACTAAATATAATGCGCTGCCATCCTTTTTGTGGACATTCTATATACTGCACTACTGGGCCAGTCCTGAATTGATGAGTATCAGGAGGCTTTACAGTGAGTGCTGCTCAAGTATTAATATATATATATATATATATATATATATATGCTGTATATACACACACACATTGCAAGAGATCATCAGAATAGAAAAAAAAAAAAACAAGAAAACATATAAAGTAATGTATGGAGTGATATGTTTGCTACATACAGTCAGTCAATGTTTTCAGTGAGTGGCGTTCAACTACTACTAATACATTTATATATACATACACGCATACACACATACACACACGTTGCAAGAGTTCATCTAAAAATGTTATGTATGGAGTGATATGTTTGTTACAAACAGTCAGTCAATGTTTTTATCTTAAACTTGCAAAATATAGAGATAGTGGGGGTCATTTGTAAACAAGTCTGAACTATGAACTACCTGTGTTGCCCATATCAGTCAAAGAAATAATTTTTTAAATATATATATATATATATGAATAAAAACAAACAAGGGTGACCTCTCATCCTGCATTACCGTGGTATAACACGTAATTTATTAAATAAAAAGGATGTATACTCACAAACCAACGTGATAATGAGCAGTATAGGTGATCCACAAAAACAGTCACAATGCAAATGTGTCTAATGATGCGGATAAGCTGATGCGTTTCGGGAGTTAAACCCCCTTCCTCAGAGCTCTGAGGAAGGGGGTTTAACTCCTGAAACGCGTCACCTATACTGCTCATTATCATGTTGGTTTGTGAGCATACATCCTTTTTATTTAATAAATTACGTGTTATACCATGGTAATGCACGATGAGAGTGCGCCCTTGTTTGTTTTTATTCATTAGTGGTCAGATTTCCCGATCTCAGAAGGGCAGCACCTCTTCGGTTGGCATTCTACAATTCCTTGGTTTGCATGAAGATTGGAGCGCTGGTTTCGTTTGTTTTTCTCTTGGGATATATATATATATATATTTATATATATATATATATATATGGACATAAAAATGGAAGCACAGTGGCTAAGTGGGCAGCACAGCAGCTATGTGGTCAGCACAGTGGTTAGCACTTCTGCTTGGCAGCACTAGGGGTGTTGATTCAAATCTCAACCACAGCACTACCTGTCTTGAGTTTTGCTCCTGTGTATATTGGCCCTATTATGTGTATGTATCAATGTGAATTAGGGACCTTAGATTGTAAGCTCTTTTAAAGCAGGGGCTGATGTGAATGTATCATATGTGTGTAAAGCACTGCGTAAATTGACGCCATTATATAAATTATGAGGAGGCGCACATGCTATGGAGCACAAACACAGTTATTGAAACTTTAATAAGTGAAGCAATAGGCTGAACTACAATTAAGGCAGAACAATATAAAACAATGCAGGTTACGCACATACAAACATATATTAGGTTTACTGGTCAGTTGATCTAATTACGGCTTTAGGTTTACTGGTCAGTTGATCTACCTAATTACGGCTTTTTAGCTGTCCATTACAAATCCTACAATAGGCTTAGTTGATATACAAAGCAGCATATCAGAAATCAACAAGGACAACAAAAAGTGATCAGACTGCTTGACCTAAAACAATATAACCAAACACCAGGCATTTGTAGCATGTAGCAGTGTCCCTGCCCTTTCATTTTGTGGTTAATGATGAGGTGGTCAAAGTTAACATTATGCATTTCACGCTCAGCATCATCACACGGTCCAGGCACAACGCAAGCTGTGCATGCAAGACCAGGTTTAGGGTTGGCTGTAAGCAAGCAGCTGGTCAAGGGTATGTTCAGGCATGTTAGGAAAGAAGCAGCTCAGTTGCGTTAATGATTAAGCAGAAGGGATGAGGACATTAAAATACAAAAGGTACCTGGAATAACTGTGGGCTTTGTTGTGGTTTTAAAATTGAAGATAGCTGCCTTTGACTTCCCCTGTTGGTTCTCAGCTACCACAACAACCTCATACTCAGCATTCCAGTCTAGAGATCGTAGCATGATGTGGTCACTGTCTGAGGCTATCTTAATCTCGGGTTTCCACTCCAGGGAATTTTTCTAAAGAAGAACCAAAGGAGGATATATAAGATCCAAGTCAACTGCATATCAACTTTGAAGTCAAAACATTATTTAAATACCATAAACTGTCAGACACAATGCAAGCAAGTCAGAAAAAAGTACTTTTGTTAGAAAGATGTGCACAGTTTTTAATGCACTGACATCCTGAACTATTTGACCTCCAACAAAAGAGACCAACAATAGATGAAGTAAAATTTTAAAAATATACAACTCAGACAGGTAGAATAATACAAAAATACTTTTAATTAATTAAAAAGACTATTTGGCCTTTATTTGATAAGGGGCGTGGATATTTATCATGTCCAGGACACAAAACAAGATAGAAAATTTGGATGTTCGGAACATATGGATGAATAACTTATAAGAAGCTGCATAAATAAACCCAAACAGAACTTGGAGGCTATTAGACAACTGTAGAACAATTTCTGAAAGACACTTACAGCTCTGTAACGGACAAGGTAGTGGCGGATAGGGGAGCCACCATCATCCTGCTTGATCAAGACAACTTTAAATGAGTTCCCATCATCTCCAACACGGCCTGTCAACTTTGGAGCACTTGGTTCCCCTAAAAAGAACCAATCAGTTCAGGGTTAGAGAAATCCAGAATCCTTATAAACAGCAAATCCATGAATAAACAGAACACCAAGACTGTCTTCAAAATCCAACAATACTTTCCTCTAAAGGAATGGTTGAGCATGTGACCTCATGGGTAAATTTGTGACCTCAACACATTAGCCACTTAGGATAAAATGACTTAAATAAATGGCAATATTTTAAATTACACTGTTTAATATGTAGCCAAAATAGATTATTCCATAGGTCTATTATAAGGATAAATCCATCACCAGGGTTGTCCATAAAGGGTATTGAATTCTGAATGATCACATTACATTTACTAAGATTCCATTGGTCTGCAAGTCAACATTAATTTGTCACAGATATCTAAAAAAAATATTATTTCACAATGTCTACCTATGACATTCATTAACTGCTTAAGAAGACAAGTAATAATATTGTTTTGATAGAAACTGATATGCAATGCTGTCATCTGAGTCAGTGTCACTGTAACTGTAATAGTGTTCTAGCAAACATAAATGTAACACCCAGCATACACTTTGGCTCATTATTGTACATCTTCATGGACTAAGTAAGGCTGTGTCCAAACCTAGTATTCAAATCCTGAGAATAATAATCCCCAGGAACCCTATTATATCTCCTTGCACCCACAGCAGGAAATCATTCATTTTATTTTCTAAGACCTGTTCTTCTTAAAAACATGTTACAAAGAGAAAATAAATTTTGACATTAGCTACAAATCTTCTTTTGTGAAATAAGGCTTGTGCTATAAGGCGAATGAACAGCTAAGTGTGTGCTGTGCTTACATTTAAACAGCAGGCATACTAACCTACACAGCGCCCCTTGCTATGGGATATGTATCCATAATGACATTTCTCTACATCTAAAAGTACTTAGACTAATGTAC